TAGAAAACAGAATTGACAGGTTCATGACTAATTGCATCTCAAGGTAACAGAGAGCAGGATGTCCTTGAAGCCTTCCAGTTTTCTGACCTTGATAATTGGCAGGTGATGGTGATGTTCATCCTGGCAGGGAACAGAAGGGTAGAACAGGGGAAGAGGTTTAGTTTGGGGATCCAGGGGAGTCCACTTGGAAATTGAGGTGCAGGGTTCGTGAATAGCTCTGGGCTAAATCTGAAAAGTTGAGAGTCACTGGAATACCACAGCAGTTGAATGCATAGGACTCACCGGGGTACTCAGAGGAAATGTATAAGGTGAGAAGAGAGGAAAATGAGCAGGAGGTTGAATCCTGGGAACATCAACCTGTAAGAGATAAACAGTAAACAAGAACACCAAGAAAGAGGAAAGAGAGGGAAGGAAGAACCAAGGTGGGGTAGGGAGAGAATATGATCCACTCAACATTAAATGCTAGAAAAACAGAAAAAAAATGATCCCAGAAATGATAAGGAAAATAGCCATCACGTTTGAGAATTTGAAGGTAATTATAACCTCAGGACTGCAATTTCAGTGAAGAGGTGGATTGGTGTCAGATTATGGTGGGTTGAATTAGAGAACCACCATAGGGAAATGTGGGCAGGGAATGCCCAGACTCTTCCAAGGGGTTTAGCTTTGAAAGGAGAGAGCAGGAGACTAAGCCAGAGGACAGTAATTAAAGGGCAGAGGTCTTCAGAAAGGCTATTTGCTTTAAATTGGAAGACACTTTAGAAGAGCAGGAGAGCTTATTTACGTGCCAAGGGGGAGCCAGAAAAAGGGAGAAAGAGGGAGAAACATCACAGGATTTTTAGCAAGATTGTTAAGGGGACAGGGGGACAAGGGATATAGATCAGGGCCACTGGAATAGGCCCCCAAATATTTTCTTATCCTAGTTTATTTGCCTTCAACTGGAGAATATCCCTGAGACACATTTTAAGGATAGATTCAGAAAATGGATAAAGAACACTTCTTACATATTTTTGTCCCATCACTATTTATCAGAGATGGCAGTTATCCCTACAATTTTTTAATTCATTAAATCATTCCTCTGATCAATAATCAAGACCATTAAATTGTTTGCAGGGAATAAAAATAGCAACTCATTCAAGCCATTCAGAATCTAGCCTTCACTGCAGCCATTCAGAATCTAGCTTTCACTGCAGCCATTCAGAATCTAGCTTTCACTGGCTTTCACTGCAGCTCCGTCTCCAATCAGGCTGCCATGTTGGCTTGCCTACACATGGGCCTGGCTCACCCTGGTGCCTTTGTACTGTTCCTGCCCCACCACAATATTATCCCCTTTATACAGACAGGGAGACTGAGGATAAAATTCCCATCTGTTGTGGCCTACCAGGTCTCTCACATTTGCCTTCTGCCTGTCTCTTCAATTGCATTGACAGCCAGGCTTCCCCACACTCTCTCCTGTACTTTTCTACCTCCAGACATTTGCCTGACTTTAACTGCTGAATGGAATGCTCCTTCATGAGCACTTTTTTGAGGGAGGCTGTTTCATATCCTGCAGGTCTCAGCCTACGCGTTACTTCATCTCAACTGATGTAGCCCCCAGATCCCAATAGGAGCAAGCCTAATGCACTTCTAACTTTCTTCAAAGCATTGAAAACAATCTGTATTTATTTTATTTACTTTTGTTCACCGCCCTTCCTTTTCCTTCCAACAAAATGGGAGTTCCAGGAGGGCTGGAACCCCCCGCACCTGGTTTTGCCTTCCTGGTCCCCACTTCTAGTCAACAGTGCTTGACCAGAGTTTTAAGACTATGGTTCACGAATAAAAAAGCTTTGCCAGTTTTTCAAAACACAGTTTAAATTGCAACTGTGTGGTGAAAACAAATAATAGATGGAATATATTGAGCACTTTATTTCAACATACTTTTATTCCAACATATGCTTTATTCCAACATACACAATACTATATTATTTTATTTAATAAGAACCCTCCATTTATCTCTCATAACCCATAAAATAATTATAAGCCAGGCAAACACACTCAGTATTAAGTCACAAGTTAGTCTCTTGCTTTGTTATTTAACATATCATACACACCACTCTTTTTGTACCAATGATATAATTAGTGATTCCCCCATAGTCCCATAGTCCAGTGTCAAAGTGCATAGAGTTCAAGATTTGCTGCTATTGAAGGTCCCTCCAGGGAGATAATATAATAAGAATGTCAAGTTGTCTTTATTACGTCAAGACAGACACAGCCAGACATTAGTTAAAGCAATAAAAACAGATTTTATTTAGTAACTACAGACAGGAGGGTAAAGAGCTGAGTTCATTCAGACTTCTAGAGAACTAGGTCTTTTATTAAAGAGAAAATGAGGGAGTAMGGGGAGATGAACAGTAAGGGCTTGACAAGAGTTGGTGAATTGAAAAATTACCAAAAGTAGGAAGAAGGGGTGGTCATGTGAAGCCCATCTAGGTTTGTTAACTGGTACTCATAGAAGTTGGGCTCCTACCCTCCCCCAGGTACCAGGAACTTATTTTCAAGTTAGGGCTGGAACAAGCTGTAATTCTTTTGCCAGCCTTCAGTTTTCTCAGGCAGGCATTTTAAGAGGGACTAGAATGTGTCCTTGAGTTGTTAGTGTTTATTCAGATCTTTGCAGGCCAAGGTTGAGGCCTAGTCCAAAAGAGGGCTCAAAGGATCCTGATTAGAGTTTGGTTAAGAAGAGAATATTTGTCAGTTGTAAACTTGGGATAAAAAAATCTAATTCAATTTGCAAATGGACTAACCCCATCTACCTACAAAGATGTCAAAAGTATTTACAACACAATTTAGTCTTTGAGGTTGAGATATGCAGTTCAACTCCCAGAAGAATTTACTAAAATCTTAACTTTCTAGAAAGAATCGTCTATTCTGTTAATAAATAAATAAATAAATAAATAACCTATAAAACAAGTTATTTTACACCACACTGTGAACCCATAAGAAAGGGTTCCTAGCATTAAGTGCTAGCTGTTGGGTTTGGAAATGTCTGCTTTGCAGTGTTATGGAGTATGAAGCAGGAGCCCTGCAGTGTTGATAAAGATCTCAGGAGCCCCTTCACACAAGGTCCAGGCAGTGGTTTGGGGAAGTTGGAATCTACAGAGTTGGTGACTAAAGCTACAAGGATTCTCCCAGATTCTTCTAGATGTTTCTGCTATCTGGAAATTCTCTTCCACACCTCACTGTAAGTTTCAGTTATAACCTACTCCTTTAGGTTTGTGGCTCAGATCAAAAGAAGYCCCCTGGACTCAAAGGAGTCCTCCCTTCATTATAAAAGATGACATGGGGTAATCTGTTCTGTTTATTCAACCTGGGTAGGGCCCTGCCCAAGGCTGGCAGTAAGCTTGAGTTCCCAAGGACTCTTATCTCTAGCACTCTACCCCTCAGAGCCATGAGAGTCATTTCTAAAATCATCTCAGGCTCTGAGTCCACCTAGGAGTAATTTCCTTTTTTGGGTCCCACCCTGGAGCAGATGTGTGCATTTAGGAAAATGTCACCCAACCTGTCTCTCCCTGCCTGACAGGTGAGCTGGAAGCTCCTGTCCGACTGGGTGTTTCCTTGGGGACAGTTTCCCTTCTATGAGAGAGGGTGTTTTCTCTTAATTAGATCTTAAATTCTACAGGCCCAACTGTTCATTGCAGTAGAACCTGGGTGATGCTGTATTTTACCAAAGCCTGTTTTCAGCTTCATCTGTGCCAGAGAGGTAATTGAATGCCATGGTTCTAATGACACATTTTCCATTCCAGTTGCTTAAAGTTCCTTTTCTGATAAATAGTTTAGTAATTATCTCTTTGGGTCACCACCTGCCCCCCGGGGGACTGGTCTGCTGGGCTGACCTGTCCTGTTCATGTCATATTAGAGGCCCTGTAAATTAGGAAGAACTCCTGCCATCTCCAGTCATATTATGATGTAGCTTCATTATTTATGAAAGTGGAACGTGACTATCTTTTCTCGCTTTAAATTAGTGAGAGGACAAGGCACCAACAGGGTAGCATCAAAGTGCCAGCTTTTCAAAGTTCTTAAGTGTACAACATTCCGGACTGTAGATCAGGTAAGAGGAAATGAGACAAAATGTAGGGTAGGGTCATGACCTTCCAGGGCTGTCCACAGCAGAGACAAGGTCTGGTATTCACTCAAAGGCTCAAATTTAGATTCCAATAGTATCTCCAAGAGAGATCATTTAAAATACACCATAATGTTGTTGGGGACATAGCTCACAATAGGGAACTTGCCTAGTATGCACGAGGCCCTGGGATCAAACCCTAGTACCGCAAGCAAACAAAGAAGCCACTCGCAATCCTGACTTGGGAGCTGCTTTTTTGTTGTTGTTCCTTTACAACAAAAGTCTGATCCTTAAAAAAAATCTCTAAGAGATGCTGGTTCCGGGTCCCGTCAGCCGCGGGAAACAGGGTGAAAGAGTGATTTGGGAAGGCAGGTTTGGACTACAGGAAATTCGGGAACCACTCCAAAGCCTCCGCCATTTGCTCCCGGCGCCGCGGCGGGAGCCGGGTCGTGGGAGGTGCTAGAGATCAGCCCGGGCAGCTGACGTCACAGCCCCTCCACTACCTGAAGCAGAGCGTGGGCRGCWCGGGGGCGGGGCCGCGGCGGCTCGGGGGCGGGGCCGCGGCGGGGCGCGGGCTGCGGGAAGGAAATACGCAGGCTGGCTGACTAGGGTTGGCTCCTGCTGGAGGCGGTGTCGGGCTCCGCCGGAACTCCAGGGGTGACCTCGGCCAACTGCTCCAGCAGCGCGCGAGGGCTGTGGCTTCTTGCGGTTCCGACCACCGGAAGGACCGGCCTCTACGCTGCTGGCATCTGCCCAAGGCCAAGCCGTTGCGGCTGCGAACGGGTCCATTTTTTGCTTCCTTTTTTTTTTTTTTTTTCTAAATGGGATTGAACTCAGGGGCACTTGGGTACTGAGGCACATCCCAGCCCTATTTTGTATTTTATTTAGAGAAGGGTCTTACTGAGTTGCTTAGCACCTCGCCATTGCTGAGRCTGGCTTTGAACCCGTGATCCTACCGTCTCAGCTTCCCGAGCCGCTGTGATTACAACTTGCGCCACCACGACTGGCCCTTTTTTTTTCCCCCCTTGGTTCATCCGGAAAAGCGAAAGGTGCAGAAGCAAAGCGACGGATACATGCATCTACTGTGTCCCTACACGTGCGTGGTCCCAAGGGCTTGTGTTGTTTCCTGGTACCCACCATTAAAACGTTTTCAGGGCATACCAGTGTATGTGGGGATTCTCCCCAAAGTGAAAATTAGTTTTTAAGCCATTTCCAAGCTTGTACTTTGGGGAAAAGGTCCTCATACAGTAATGTTTCTTTCCGCACCCGATGGCTGAGAGTTTGACAGAACCTGGCTCCCCTGGGTTTACACCTCCCAGAGTTCTGGATGCCTGCTGGGAACAGTTTCCAGACACTGCCAATTTCGCCTATATTGAATGCCCTGCATCCTGATTTTTGTGTCTCATAGATCCTTGACTCAGTGAGACAGTCTTTAAGGTTTAGCTGAATGCCACAGCCCGGCCTCTTGATGCAGTCTGAATCCAGCAGATGTGAAGAGGAGACCCCATCCCTCTTGTGGGGTTTGGATCCTGTATTTCTAGCCTTTGCAAAACTCTACATCAGGGATATCCTGGGCATGAAGGAATCCCGCCAAGTGCCAGGTATGTGACTGGTCAGCCAGATGGATCCCTGTGTTGCATCTGCACCCTCTTTCCCAAAAGTTGCAGAAAGCAGAGGCTTAGATGCTTTAAAGAGAATCCTCTCTGCTTAGAACATGACCTCGTTTGGACCTTGGAATGAGTTAAAGCAGTCTCAAATTAAAAAAAAAAAAAAAAAAAAAAAAAGATGCCCTGGGGAAGTTACCTTTGTACTAAGGAAGCTTTTTGCCTGTGTTCAAGGTCTTCCATATTTAAAAATGTTCAGTTGTCTTTCTTTGGATCTGCCCTTGGTGTCAAAAATCATCAAACCAGTTGTTCCTAGGCCTCTTGTGTCACCTGCCTTTGTGAGTGACCCACCTTCTGTAAATCTTAGATTTCTTCMTTGTAAAAATGGTTATTAACCATGATTGATTTTGTGGGAGTTTGTTTTGAATTAATCAGAATCAAAGAACTATGAACTCCATAGGGTAAGGACATCRTCTGTCTTGTTCACCTATGTAATCACAATGCTTTAAGCAGTGCCTGGCATAGTGAGGGAGCCCTCAAGAAAAGGCAATTGAAACAACAAATTACACATATAAAGATAAATAAAAGTTGTTCATTAGGCCAGGGGCTGTGGTGCACTCTTGTAATCCCAGCAATTTGGGAGGGTGAGGCAGAGGATTGCAAATTCAAGGGCAGCCTGGGCAATTTAGTGAGATCCTGTCACAAAATTAAAAGGGCTAAGGATGTAGTGGAGTGCCCCTGGGTTCAAGCTTCAGTACCTCAAAATAAAATTTGGTAGAGTAATGGCTACTACAAAGGCTTATCATACCTTAAAAGTACAACAAATAGAGTTTGGGGTAAATTTGAATAACTGGAATAGCTGTGGGTGTGTCTTCACATGTTTACTGTGCTATACTGTAACAGTGGTCYACTTTATGCTTTGAATAAAGCCCTTGCTGCTCTGCCACTGCGAATTATTTTTAAAATAAACATGTTTGTTTCCCTTTCTCTCTCCCTGCTACTCTCTAATCTCTCTCGCTCCCTAATCTCAGGAAACTTCCCCATTTTAGGCAGATTTATCTGTCCTTGAGTACACAACCACCATCCCAAGGAAGTGAAGTAATTCAGACTTTGGGGATGGTACCAGAAGATCTCTGAATTTGTTAATCCCCAAATTAACAAATGAATTACAACTTCTACAGAGAACACATGGAATGTAACCTTTGAATCCCTTCTTTAAAAGCCCCCTATTCCTGCTGTTAAGCAGAATCACACAGCCTTTGGGACAGGAGTTGTCTGTGTTTCTTCTTTATTAGCAAAGCAATACACCTTCTCTTTCCTTTTTCTCAAAACTGTCCTTGGGGCTGGGGTTGTGKCTCAGTGGTAGAGTGCTCTCCTAGCACGCCAAAGGTGCTGGCTTCAATCCTCAGCACCATATAAAAATAAATAAAATAAAGGTATTGTGTCCAACTACAACCAAAAAAAAAAACAAAAATTAAAAAACAAACTGTGTCCTTGTAATTGGTTTGGCATCAAGGACAAGGACCAAGCTTTGAAAACAGTATGAGAAGTTTGGTTATACACTTTTTTTTTTTTTTTTGGTGCTGGGAATTGAACCCAGGGCCTTGTGCATGCCAGGCAGGCACTCTGCCAACTGAGCTATATCCCTAGCCTTTGGTTGTACTCTTTTTGCTATTTTGAGTGAAGCTTTCCAATCAGTAGCTTTTTAAATATCAAGCYATGTGCCAGAATGGTCAATGATCTTGAGTATCCACAGGTTTAAGTGGTGAACTTTTATGTGATTCCACTTAWATGTACAAATATATCTGAATGGTTTTAACACTGAAGCCTTTTGTACAAATTTTTTTTTCACCACACCTTTATTTCCTAATTATTGTTGGACATGGTCTGGTTTTTTCCTTGGAAGGTAGCCAGCCTCCCCCATAGTTTTCCGMTTTCCAGAACAATCTGGTATTCTTTATAGCTCATCTCTAAAGGAAGAAATTCATTCACACCAAATGCAAGCCTTGTTTAAAGATCTGTGGGTGAGCAAGCAAGTATCAGGGATATSGTAGAAGTTTCACTAGTACTGATTTTTGCTCCATTACTGGTAAGAGTGTTTCAGWTGCATTTTGTTTTTGTTTTTGTGRTGCTGGTACAGAAAAAAGTGAGAGAGGGAGAACTAGAGACTTTATAAAATTTAGAAATGTTTAAACAGCAGAGAATATCTTAAAATAACAAAGGTTAACGAAGAAAATGATACAACATGAATCATATGTGTTCTGTAATAAAGAATGTGACTGGCCTTTGTCCTTGATCCTGGGAGGTAACCTTTAAATCCTTGGAATTCCCTGAGTGATGAAATGTCTTTGTTGTGGATGGTAGCCCCTTGGACCACACCTGCTGTGCTTATAGTTTCAGGATGGGGTTGTCTGTATCCAAAGAGCATCCTTACTATTAGAGGGTTGGGGTTTGGAGCCASGGCCATCAGCCTGACCCCTCAGAGGTCAAGTTCAGTCATATGTCTAATGAATCAATCATGCCTACATTATGAAAGCCCAATAAAAATTCTGGAGTTTTCCTTGGAAGGTAGCCAGCCTCCCCCGTAGTTTTGCTTTCCTGAACAATCTGGTATGCTGAGGCTTAGATGAGCTTTCCTGGCTAGTGATCTTATATTGATATGTCAGAGGATGATGTGTACTGGAGATAAAGAAGTTTCACATTTGGACCTTCCCAAACCTTACCCTTTTCTATCTCTTCATTTAACTGGTGCTGAATTGTATTCTTTATTATAAAACTGTACTCCTAATTATAACATCTTTCTAAGTTCCAGCGAATTACCAAATCTGAGGGATTCATGGGAATCCCTAGATTTATAGCCAGTTGRTCAGAATGCAGATGGTCAGAGGATTCCCTCAAAACTTGGGGCTAGTGCCTGAAGTGAGAGCAGTCCTGTAAGGGTTTGTATCCTAAACCTGTGAAATTTAACCTGGCTGGAGACTTAGTGTTAGAATTGCATTGCAAAATGTCATCTCCCTTAATCTGTGAATTTAGGGTTGAACTTATAAAAACATTGTAAAGTTTCTATGGTGGTGGTAATGCTTAGGTTTGGGGGAGTTTCTGCATTAAAAAAAAAACAATTAAAAATAACAGCTCATAACATGAAAAAAAGGTCTTTGTTTCAAATGTTCCYATAATGTCAAATTTCAAAGATTAGACAAATAACAGCTTTGTTTTTCTTCTGCTCTTATGTCATACACAACACAGAAGATTTCTCAGATCCCAAAAGWTGTGAGGTTTTTCTCCTCATCAGAAAGCAAGCAGCAGGGGCTGGGGATGTGGCTCAAGCGGTAGCGCGCTCACCTGGCATGCGTGCGGCCCGGGTTCGATCTTCAGCACCACATACCAACAAAGATGTTGTGTCCGCCGAGAACTAAAAAATAAATATTAAAAATTCTCTCTCTCTCTCTCTCTCTCTCTCTCTCTCTCTCTCTCTCTCTCTCTCTCTCTCTCTCTCTCTCCTCTCTCTCACTCTCTCTTTAAAAAAAAAAAAGAAAGCAAGTAGCAGGTTCTGCCATGGAACCAGCTGGGCATCCTATAGTCCAATTTTTTTTTTTTTTTTGGTACCATGGATTGAACTCAACGGCATTCGGCCACTGAGCCACATCCTCAGTCCTATTTTTTTGTATTTTATTTAGAACAGGATCTCACTGAGTTGCTTAGCACCTTGCTTTTGCTGAGGCTGGCTTTTAACTTGTGATTCTCTTAAGTTTTGATGTTATCTACCTGGAGATAGTGTCAGATCCCACAGGTTGAGGGTTCTTTCCCCAAGACTTCCCCTGCACAACTTCTGATGCCAGTTGCAAGTCCTGGGATGTTTTTATCTGTTCTTCTGACAAAGTGGCTATAAATTAGTGTTTCCACAACCCCTTCTTCAGGTTCAATTAATTTGCTTGAACAGCTCTTAGGACTCAGGGAACACTTATATTTACTGGGTGACTATAAAGGACATTCTAAAGGATGGAGATGAAGAAATGCATAGTTAAGTTATGAAAGAAGTTCTGCTGAGCTTCCACGCCCTCTCCAGATGTGCTGCCCTCTAGGAATCTCCATGTTCAACTACCTGAAAGCTCTGAAAACCTTATATTATGGCATCTTATTGGAGACTTATTTGCATAGGCATAATGGGAGCATGGATAACTGGAGAAATAKGATTGGACAATAAGGATAGGATGTAATGCTAAGAGACTAGGTGGGGAGACCCAGCAAGGCCCTTCTGTTTAGATTCTTCTTGGCCTYTCTATCCAGTATCTTGCYTCCAAGGTATGTGGCAGGACCCCTTTGAAATGAGGAGGGTCTTAAGACCTACAACTGGACAAAGTAGGTCAGAGAATTCCCTTTGGCCATCTAAAGCAAGGGAAAACCAAAACCAATCCCTCATAGATAGCCAGGTATGACTGTATTTATAAGGATTATATTAAATGAATCTATATTTTAAAAGTATTTTATTAGTAATTTTATTGCTGTCATATTTCAATAAGAGCAATTTATACATCAGTAAAATAACAGTTAAGCTGAAAATAGATCCATCAAAAGTATCTTTTAAGAGAAAAAAATAGGCAAATAAGTTGCTGTGGTCATGGATGTTCAGGGTCTGCTGTTTGAAATCTGAGTCAAATCTATTGGTRACCCCGGGTCCCTCAGTTGTCACAGCTTGACCTTTCTCCTCTCAATGGTGTGAGGCTCCAGGGATCCCCTGGTTTTTGTAGGTGTCTGTGGGCTGTATGTGGATCAGTAGGAGCAAGGGGACCCCTTGGAAAAGGCTGGAGCATGAACTTGGTGTCAGCTAGCATTTGTCTGTTGTGATCATTTTCCTAGCCTGTTGGGCTTTCTCTCACTTGACAGGGCTGTCATCCAGCTCCCTTGAGCTCTCTTCTCATAGGAGAGCTCTCACTCTGATGGAAGGAAGTGGTTCTCTAATTCTTTTTCTGTGTCCTTGGCCCTCTTCTTATAGAGGCCACGCATCTCTATTTGTGTGGTTCATGTTTCCGTGTACTTTGAGACATTTCTTCTGTCTTTGTAAGCAGTGTATTTCCTCCTCAGTGAATTTTCTCAGAGTTTTAAATGCAAACCATGTGTTATTTTCTTACACAGCTGTTGTCTTTTGTTCTGATTCTCATAAGTTGTTTTTTTTTTCTTGCATCAATCCTTGGAGACGCAACATTTTTTGTTGCATCCTCAAGTGACTATATATCTTTTCAAAGGCAAGCCATTGTCAATTCACGAGGTAAAAGTAGATGGGGCCCACATCTGTCTTTTTTCAAAGAAGTCTACCRTGTCCTTAAGAAAAGAACTGTTCAGATTTTTATCAAGTGTTACCAGATACAGAGTTTGTAACATCAGAGGAGAGGCAACTTGGGGACATCTTTGGCTTGTGTCACTAGTCCAGTCACCTCACCTYCTTTTCCATAGACTTCAACCTAGGCAAAGCACCTTTTGTCTAGATCTTTCCCCCATCTTAAAGGTCTTAAAATTTCATGGTTTTTCTGTGGATCCACCTTGTTCCCATTCAAYCCAAATATTCCTGGATAGGGGTGACTCTCCTTTTGGGGAGACTCAGGCTCCTTCCCTTGTGTGACTGCCATTTTCAGCTCATGGCCTCCAAAGCTGCSCTGGGGATGATCTCCCATCCACCAAGTCATTTTTAGAAGTTGCCCTTTGCAGACGGAGAGGAGTCTGCTTTGGGCTAAATTTATTCTGTTTTCTTTCTTTAGACAAATATCTCATTCTCTTAGTGCCTCTGGCAGGCTAAGGCTCAGGGGCTCCTGTCTATACCTGGGACTCTGCCATGAGTGACTCATCTCTAATCATCCTAAAGGGGAACAAGAGAACCACCCACAGGGGACAGTTTGGATTCAGGCCACAGGTCCCACTGTGGCTTGAAATCCATAGGCTCTGAACAAACTTGGTGGGAAGGGGAGGAGGTGGCCAGATGCCTGAAGTGACCATGGCTTCTTTGTTTACATTTTATGCATTTATTAAAAAAGGAAATGGCCAAAACTGGGTGCAGTGACACTTACCTATAATTCCAGTGATTCAGGAGGTGGAGGCAAGAGGATCACAAGTTGAGGGCCAGCCTGGGCAGTTTAGCAAGGCTCTAAGCAACTTAGCAAGACCCCATCTCAARATCAACAAAAAGGCTAGCATATAGCTGAGTGTAAAGTGCTCCTGGATTCAATCCCCAGTGCCAAAAAGAAAAAAGAAAGAAAGAAATGGCCATTTAAAAGTTTATAACCTGTTTCTGAAAATAAACTATTAGCTACCAATAAGAGAGGCCAGGGAGGAGGTCAGTCAGGACCCTTTGTGCAGGTGGCAGGAACACAGTGTTTAGGCTACAGTGGAAAGCTCAGGTAAGAATATGAGGGCCCCAGAAAGAGGTGCTGCAGAAGTCAGGAGCTTTGGGACTTCAGATCAGAGTCAGGGACTCAGGTAGRGTCCCTCTGTCTGCCTCTGTCACCAGGTCTGAAAAAGGCTGTGGGTTTAGTTGGGTGGGTTCCCCAGTCAGGTTTCTCCCTTGGCAGAACTTTGACTGACAGCATCTGTAGTTTGGGTTTTGAAAACAGAGTTTTGAAAAGAGAGGTTTTTGAATTACAATCTGCTGGCCCTGAAGAGTAGTGTTTTGTAACCTATGTGTCATCTCCTTTTTTTCTACAAAAGGAAAAAAAAAGGGGGGGTTCTGGCCAGTTCACAGAAATGATGACTGGTTTCTTAGAAAAGCATTGGTTTAAAAAAGCCCAGAAGCCTTTCTCATGGTTTCCTTTCTCTTTCTCAAAATGCAGTCCTGTGGGTCCCATCAGATGCCGGCTGTTGGTAGGCCCTTRTGAGCCTTCTTCACGAAGGTACATTTCTTTCTTTCTTTCTTTTTAAATTTATACATAACAGCAGATTGCATTACAATTCTTATTACATATATAGAGCACAATTTTTCATATCTCTGGTTGTATACATAGTATATTCACACCACTTCGTGTCTTTATACATGTACATTTCATAGTCACAACGGGAAGCAAATTCACCAAATCTAGTTGGGCAACATCAGTTTTTTTCTGCACTACTCCARACTTCTTTAAAGCCAAGCTTTCTGCCTCTGACCCTTGAGGAAAAGACCTTTAATTTTCTTGTAACTTGCCATTTGGCAAGGACTGTTTCTTTATCTTTTTCTTTTTATAGGGGAGGGGAGTGGCTACCAGGGATTGAACTCAGGGGCACTTGACCACTGAGCCACTTCATAAGCCCTATTTTGTATTTTATTTAGAGACAGGGTCTCACTGAGTYGCTTAGCACCTCACTTTTGCTGGGGCTGGTTTTGAACTCGTGATCCTCCTGCCTCAGCCTCCTGAGCCATTAGGAATAYAGGCATGCGTGGCAACTGTTTCTTAAGATTGGAATTTCAGCAAATAGCATACCACAGTGTTTTGACATCCCCACACCCTCCCTCAACAGACATTTAATGAAGCAGAAAATGTAATCATATATTATATGAACTTTGCCTCTTTTTTAATTTTAGGTATATTTTTGTACAATGGTCATCCAATAAAACAGGTAGATATTCTGGGGACCGTCGTTGGAATGAGAGAAAAAGATGCTTTCTACAGTTATGCAGGTAAGAACAATGATGTCTGAAATCAAGTTTATGTAGAAGGTCCTCACTTAGCTAAAAATTGAATTTTAAGCAGGCGCAGCCTTTCAGAGCATCTGGGAGCTAGTTCACAAAGCCCATTCCTCTGCTGGGAGCTCTTGAAGCCCCACATGCAGACTGAGTGAAGAATGAGTTAGGAATGATACTGAGGAATACTATAAAGGGACCACTGCTGGGGAGCCAGAAGGTAGGAAAAATAATAGAGCAGTCTAGGATTACTGATTGACAGGGAGGACACTGATACCTACAGACATAGCTAAAAATAACAAAGGACAGTTGTATGGATACAGATAAAGATGTAGATCTCTCTCTATTTTTTTTAAGTACCAGAAATTGAACTCAGGGACACTTAACCTCTGAACCACATCCCCACCCTGCCCCCCTTTTTTTGTAAATTATTTTGAGACAGGGTCTCACTAAGTTGTTTAGGCTGGCTTTGAACTTGTGATCTTCATGCCTCAGCCTCCCAGTTGCTGGGATTATAGGCATGTGCTGTATCGTGCCTGGCCAATATATATTTATAGTGATACCTTAAAAAGAAAAAACCAGATTAAAAAGTAGACCTTTTAAGAAGACAGAGAGGTGTAAAAATAACTTCAAAAGATTTATATCCAGAACAGTTAAAAACAAAAAAAATTCTGGTACTCAAAGGGATAAACATCCACTATCAGAAAAGTTCCTTTCACTCACATGATGAAACAACCACTGTAGAAATCAGTATGGAGGTTCCTCAAAGACTAGGAATGAAACCACCACATGACCCAGCAATAGCACTCCTTGGTGTTTATTCTAAAGATTTAAAGATTTCATCACTGTAGTGATCATGCATACCCATGTTTATGGTGCACAATTCACAATAGTCAGACTATGGAACTAACCTACGTGTCTGTCAGTGGATGAATGAAAGAAGAAAATGTGGTATATATTCAAAATGCAGTCTTATTCAGCCATAAAAGAGAATGAAATTATGATATTTTCAGGCAAATGGATTGAATTGGTGAACATTGTGTTAAGTGAAATAAGCCAAACTCAGAAAGTCAAGGGTCAAATATTTTCTCTCATGTGTGGAAGTTAGAGAGGAAAAGGAAAAGAAAGGGGTTGGGGGGTGCTCATGAAAATCGAAGGGAGATTGTCAACACACGACTAAATTGGTCAGAGTCACTCCAAGTGAATTTGGGGACTAAATAAAGACACAGACACAGAAACTACCTTTTCTTTGGGTTCAGTAAATGTTCCTCAGCTGCAGCTCCACCAAGGGGGACAAGGCAGGCAAGAAAGACAAAAAGCACGCCTGGAACCTGGATTTTATTTTATTTTTTATTTATTTATTTATTTATTTATTTATTTTTAATTTTTTTTTCTATTGTTGGTCGTTCAAAACATTACATCTAACTTTAAATATCATATTTCACAGTTTGATTCAAAAGGGTTATGAACTCCCATTTTACCCCGTATACAGATTGCTGAATCACATCAGTTACATCAATTACATTTCCATTGATTTACATATTGCCATTCTAGTGTCTGATGAGTTCTGCTCTCTATCCTAACCTCTACTATCCCCCCTCCCCTCCCCMCCCCTCCCCTCTTCTCTCTCAACCCCCTCTACTGTAAAAYRTTTCTTCCTCTTGTATTGTTCTTTCCTTACCCCTCACTTCCTCTTGTATGTAATTTTGTGTAACCCTGAGGATCACCTTCCCTTTCCATGCAATTAGGGACCTGGATTTTATTGAGGAGAAGCCATTCAAATGAAGCAAGGGGTCAGGTTTCAGGGGGTTGAGTCTAGCTTCGTATGGGATGTGTGCTCTCTGAAGATTGACTGACATCTTGGAAGGTCACACCCATCTCACGTGCTGTGTGATGACCAAAGGCAGAGCAAGCAAAAGGGACAACTGCATGCACAGCCCAGACAGAGCAGCATCCTAAGTCCAGTCTGCTTCGTGCGTTCAAAATGCTCCCAGCTCACACAGCCCATGGCTGGCTCGCCACAGGAAATCAGTAGAACAGAGGAAAGGGACCAGAGGGAGGAAGGAGGAGAGAGAAAGGGGAAATACTGGGGAATGATATTAGCCAAATTATACTGTTATTTTGTGTGCGTGTACAAATATGTAACAATGAATCCTACCGTTATGTACAACTATATAGTGAACCAATAAAAAAAAGAAAAAAGGAAAAAAAAAATAAAGGGTTTTTGTATTATGGATCAGAGAATTGCTAGAATATTATTTTAGAGTAGTGGGTCTTGATTTTTTTGAGTTTTATTTGAGCATTATAATATATTGCCTTATACAACTCCAAGAGTCTCTGTAGTCGAGAGGTTTTGTTAGATATTTGGTGAGAAGCTTGACTTGAATTCCAAAACTTTGTTGTAATTGACGCCGTCACTTTTTGTGATATTATCTTGGATTTGCATTCTTCTTTTTTTTTTAAATATATATATATTTTAGTTGTAGTTGGACACAATACCTTCATTTTACTTATTTATTTTTTACATGGTGCTGAGGATTAAACCCAGCACCTTGCACATACTAGGCAAGCGCTCTACTGCTGAGCCACAACCCCAGCTTGGATTTGCATTCTTGCTGTACTTCAGGAATAATAGAAGGTAATCAAACTTTGTGACCAAGAACATTTATTRGCAGTCTATACATGATTGATCATTKGTAGATACAATGTCATTGCATTTCCTCAACATTTACTCTTTTTCCTGAAGACARTAGTCTCATGCATATTAAAATAGCACATGAGAGAGGAGATTTTGCTTGTCTTTCACTTTTTTCCCCAGCATATATAAATTTTTAAATCAGCAATAGATCATTCTGTCAGGCACAACCATACGGAACCTGTTCTCTGTTTCATTTTATCAAAGACCCTGGTTCTGGTTTTCTCCAAGACAACAAACATTTACTAAGTTCCTCAGTCCACTCAGCTGTGGACTATGATACAATAAAGTGCTTCCTCTCTTGATACCAATGAGGAAATAATAGTGTCTTTAAGTTTACAAAGCACCTTCATTCATCATTTCATGTTACTCTCTCCCTCATCTTTTGAAATAGAAAGGACAGCTTTTATTTCCATTTTGTAGTGAGAAAACTAAGGCTCAGTAACTTGTTCAAGGCTCTGCTGATGGAGGTTTGGGGTCCAATCTGCTRTGCACTGACCCCAGTGTGCTCTGCAATTTGCTTATAAGTTAGATTGCTTCTTTCTCTCATCCCCTTCCTCCTCCAAATCAGCTGGATTTGATTTTTAGTTTTCTATATTTTTAGATCAAATAAATGAGATTGTTGAGAACTTTAGTCYTGGTCTGAGAATTGGGCCCTTGACCTAAAGGGTCTTCACTTCATTCCTTTTCCCATTATTAAAAAAAAAAAAATTTAAATGATGTTTGACTCTTCCCAAGAAGCCTTTCCCTCTGAGTGGGTGTCATGAGAGCACAACACATCTGTGGGCTGTGAGAATGTGGCAAGCGTCTGGATGTGGAAGCACTTGAGAGCAGAATGCTTTTGCAACTTTGATTCTTTTTTTATGGGTTGTGTTTTGTTTGGCAACTCTAATTCTTGTGYGGCTTGTTCAAGTGGAGCAATGCTTCTCTCCCTTCTGTCCTCAGGCCCAGTTTGGCTCTCGGGCCACCTGCCAGGCCGCCACTCCCTGCTATCCTGCTGCTTGCTCTCCCTGACTCACCGCAGGCCTGTGCTGGGGGTATTTCTGCCCACACTGACTCATTCCTGGGGAGGACACTGTGCCACACTGCCAGCATGCTCCTCTTCCAGGGCATTCAGCAGCAGGCCTTGGGGACTGGCATGGAGTCTGCTAGAAGAGGTCACATGCCAGGGAAGGGAGGGTTTGTTAGCAGTGCTTGTGGTGTACAGAGCACCTGGCAGCCACTCAAGCTCAAGACAAGACCAGAATGATGTCGTATGTACTAGAATAATACTCATCTGCTAATTCTTTGACTTTTCATTATAAATCAAGATTTTTCAGTTGGCTGGAGAAGTGGTGATCCTATAGGGGTCATATTTTTTTTTTTTTCCAACTCAATGTCTCTCTTGATTTTTTTGTTTTTTGCTTCTTTTTGATATTTACTCATTAAAAAAGAAAATTTAAAATGAGAAGATTTTAATGAAGTACATAAAATTCATGTAAAATACATAAATTAAACAAAACAATGTTAGTGTTTTAGTGAACATCKTCCCTGATATTCCTAGAGTGTTGCTAATGTTGAAGAATCTAGAAATGCCTTATTTCCTTAGCACTGTTACATGCATGTTTTTATCTTCTTAAAGTTTTTGAAATTAGAATTGTAATTAATGTGTATATTGAATATGGGATTCCTTCTCCATATCCAAAAGATGCTGCTCTTAGCATTTAATATCATGAAAATAATTTCTGTTAAAATACACTGTTTAATGCTTTACATAAGTTAGATTATTCATAAGATTTATAGGACATAAGATTTCTGTTTGACAGGGACGCATGTATATTTTTTAATAGCAGTGAACATAGATTTCTCATAACCTTTATTCTCTCTCTTTTTTTAAAAATATTTTTTTAGTTGTCAATGGACCTTTATTTTATTTAGTCATATGTGGTGCCGAGAATCAAACCCAGGACTTCACACATGCTAGGCAGGCATGCTACCACTTAGCTCCACCCCCAGCCCATAACTTTTTATTTTCATATACTATGTTATTCTAGTTTATTTAACCAATTGCCTATTTGTAAACATTTAGTTATTTCCAGTTTTCAGTATTACAAACCATACTGCAGTGAGCAATAGACTTATACAAGATGTATACATCCGTGTCTTTGTTCTTTTTTTCCTCTTCAGTTTACTTTTTTGGAAGTAATTGCCAAATCAATCGTGTGTGTGTATGTGTGTGTGTGTGTGTGTGTGTGTGTGTGTGTGTACACACATACGTACACATACACATTTCAAAATTTGATGAATTTCTCCAAGCTTGCTCTTTAGAAATTTGGTACTAACAGCATATAAGAATATCAGTATTTTAATATTTGTCAATCTAGTAATTGAGAGATTATTTAAACTTGCTTTTTAAAAGATGGTAATTAGTGAGTTTAGCACACTGACATATACTTAATTGGGAAGTTTTTTTTTTCTGGTCTTGGTCTTTTTCTTATTAATTTATATGAGCTCTTTATATATAAAGCACCAACCCAGTCATCTGGAAAATTGCCATCCATTACTGGCTTTTAGGTTAGCAAACATATCAGACTGTTTTTTCAAATGAGTTCTAATTTTTAGGTTCTGCTTTAAAAAGTGTTTCCTACCAGCCAGAAGCTCMGGGTGAAAGTGTTCACCCGTATCTTCTTATCTTAAGAAAATTTAACAAAATGAAACCCATCTGAGAAGTATTTACAGCATATTGCAACAGAGATTTAAGCTAGCAATAAAACATTTTTGCTTTATTTATATTTCTTCTATATATTACAATATGCTTTTACAACAAACTACTTGATGATTTTTTTAAAAATCATGAGGTCCCCCTGAGCCCATAGTTAACAACTTCTCTTCTGAATTTGTCAAAAATTAGATAAAGAAAAATCGTCTATCTTCCCAAGCAAACATCCATATTTCTCTACAGTTACAAATCCAATACCATGGAAATTGTCTGACTCCCCCCCCCAATCAGGAATAAAATAAGTCAGACCAATATGGATTTTGTGAACAAGATATAATTATTTTATCTTATGGAAATAAAAGTCTGCCCTCTGGGACATGCTTGGCTTTCCTTACACCCCCTACAGGGGTAAGGGCGGGACAGCAGCCCTTCCACAAAGAGAAACCCAGGCCAAGTGATGTGGAATGCTTTGTTTTGGGAAGTCAGCATGCTAGTCAAAGAGAAGTGGTGACAGAGGCACTGCTCTGCATGCCCCTGACCACAGACCACGTGATGCTTCTGCTTGCAGCAGGGCAAAAAAGGCTAATGTTGTGTGTGGGCAGTGATTGAGAGTTTTGCATGGGGCTTTCTAAGGATGCCACTTTTAGCAGAGAGGTGTAGACTAGACACAGCGCCCTCGAGGTAAAATAATCGAAATGTTGGATGCATCCCATTGGGCTTGTGTGTTGTGCTCACGTGCACAGGCAAGCAGTTCATGCTGGTGTATGGGGAGAGATTGTTTCTAAAGATAGAGGGAGAGTTTGATAAGGGGATTTGCCCCTGTCGGCTATAGAAAAATGTCATTTTTCAGTAAGGCTGAATGCTGTAATGACATGTGCACTCACCAGCCCTGCCCTCGTTGCTCCTCTGCCCGTTTATTCTTCTCTTGCAGTGGACGACAGCACTGGAGTAATAAACTGTATCTGCTGGAAGAAGTCGAGCCATCCTGAGTCTTCGTCAGGTAATTTTATTTGTCGTGTTCCTTTGCTTTTCAGCTAAGCAGTGGATTTTACTCAAAGCACCTCACTGGAAAATGGCTACAGGGCTAAATATTCACATTGAYCTTCTGTGAATTACAGGGATGGATTTGAAGCACTGTACCCAGAGCTTTTGCTGCTCTGAAAACTGGCACCTTGGTCAAGGGCATGGCTTCTCTTTCTCCCATCTTTTTGGTGCTCACTTCCTCCTAAGCTGTAGGAATACAGAACAGATCCTGGGGAATTCAGTGGTTTGTTTTTACGCTGGTATCTACTATGTAAGTCAAGACCAAAGTTTTCAAGGCCCCTGCTCTTATGTGGTTGTCTCTCAATTCTATTCTACCATGATCTAGATTTTTTGAAATTTCTAACCCAGTCAAACAAATGCCAGATAGAAATTCTTGTTGTTAAGATGAGATTCCTTTGGAAGATAGCCACTAAATAATAYAAACTGCAAAACAACTTTAAAATTGTGTATTGAACACATTGACTATAACTGAAATAACATTTATGGTGCTGCGGATCAAACCCAAGTCCTGTTGCATGCTAAGAGAACGCTCTGTCACTGAGCTACACCCCCAGCTCTCTGGAATAATTTTTTCCCCCATACCAGGGATTGAACCAGGGGCACTTATCCACTGAGCCACATCCCTAGCCCTTTTTTAAAAAAATATTTTATTAGGGCTGGGGATGTGGCTCAAGCGGTAGCGCGCTCGCCCGGCATGCGTGCGACCCGGGTTCGATCCTCAGCACCACATACCAACAAAGATGTTGTGTCCGCCGAGAACTAAAAAATAAATTAAAAAATTTCAAAAAAAAAAAAAATTTATTAGAGACAGGGTCTTACTGAGTTGCTTAGGGCCTCACTAAGTTGCTAAAGCTGGTTTTGAACTCAACGATCCTCCTGCCTCAGCCTCTAAGTCACTGCGATTACAGGTGTGCGCCACTGCACCTGGCTCCCTCTGGAATAATTTTTAAAGTTAAGTTCATAATATTTAAACTGCATCATGCTTTACTCGTGATCATTTTTGGCTTTAGAGAAGGTACAGAAACTGGCCTCTTGGTTTTCCTGTTTTACAACATGATTCAGCATGGTGCCCTGCACATGGGGCTGTTTAGTGACTTGTGTTATACATGWCAAGAGCTGTGTGATGCTTGCAGTGGCTTCTTCCTTCCTCCTTGCCAATAGGTGTCAAAATCTCAACTTCCTACTTTGACTGTACCGAGCAGTGGTGTGCTCATTTGCTTAGTTTCCTGATATAAATACATTTAGAATTTGGCCATCAGTTTCACGTAACTTTGGCATTTTCATTCCTAATTTGGGAACATCTAAATCAATGAGCTCTGCAGATAAATTTAAGGAGAATAACAGGTTTTTATGCAGATTATCTTTTAGGTAAAAAATAAACTCGTAAGACAATCAAATATCTGGATTTTCATGTATGTAGGGTATTTTCTTAAGTTTGTTTTGTGCTGTTACTACTTTGTATCTGAAACTGGGTAATTTATTTAAGAAGAAAACAAGTTTATTCTTCACAGTTCTGGAAGYTGGGGAATCTAAAATTTGTGTGCTGACAGGTTTTGACATCTGGCAAAGGCTAGTCCCCACTTTGAGGTGGCACCTTGAGTACTGAGTCCTCCATGGGAGAGGAGCACGCAGTTCCTCCCATGGCAGAAGAGCAAACTAGAGAATCCTTTTGACAGTGGCATTAATCCAGTTCTGCTAATCTAACCCCATAACCTAACCCTTCCCAGGCCCTCTCCCAACACGGGTTATGTTGCTGTTGTGGTTTGGGTCAATGTCCCCCAAAGACCAATGCATAAAAGCCTGATCCTGGTGCTGTGGACCATAAGCTGTGAGGCCAGGGGGAGGTCTTTAGGTCATTGGGGACATGCCCTCAAAGGGACTATGTACCCAGGTCTCTCCCTTGCTTTGTTTTTTGACTCAATGCATGATTGCTCACTCTGACATGCACTGCTCACCAGAAGTCAATGAGGCTGCCTGATCTTGCACATAAAATTCCAGAACCATGAGCCAAAATAAACCTCTTTCCTTCATAAATGGTCTGTGTTAGGTATTTCCTCTGAGTRATGGGAAGCTGACTAATATAGTTGTAGTTTCTAACATGARTTTGGGAAGGGATCAAAAACATTCAAATCATAGCAGTACTGATATCATTTGTAGATTTATGGATRTTGTCACAATCTTTAATCAGAAGGTATATATTACTTGATTTTGATGGAGAGTCAGCAGACTTTCTCTGTAAAGGTCCAGACAATAAATACTTCCTACTTTGTGGACCATATACTTTAGGTCAAACTACTTAATACTGCCATTTAATATAAAAGCAACCATAGATAATACATAACAATGGCACAACTGTGTCCCAATAAAACTTTATTTATAAAAGCAGATTGTAAATGGATTTGGTCTATGGATAATGGTTTTAAATATTATTTTAGTTTTTAAAATTAACTCTAATAAGAAATGGCATCATCAGGAATATTATATAATTCTTACACTTAGTAATTTTTAGATTAATAAAATGGCTAATGTAATACTAAGAATATTGAGAGTAAGTTTTTAAAAATATCTGTGAATAGCTGAATTGAGAGTAGCCTTAATTTGAAATTGCAAATAGAGAGGATAAGAGTATCCAGAGAAACCCTAAAAATGATTCTTATCATATTACCCATGAAGTGATGTTTTTAAATTGTTCCCAATTTGCCCATTCTCTCCTTTTAATTTAATTGCCCAAAGTTTAAAAGCTTTCCATTGGAAAGTGGCCAATGAAGACATTTTTTAAAACAAAATTTAGTCTAAGTCAAAATTAGTCATGTTCCACTTAATTAAAGCATAAGAATATAATGTTAGCTCCCATAAATGTCACATTGAATGTGCTTTGCTTATGAGCAAAGTTAAGAAAGCTTGGCCTTTAGTATTAGAATGTTAAAGGGGATTTATCGTTCAAGATGGAATAGACTATTTAAAATGAAATTCTGTCAGGCTCCAGCCGTCTCATTACATTCATTAAATTACACGCTGGAGCCTTCTCTTGGCACTTTGGCTCACCCTTGCAGTGAGAGCTRGGCCTCTTTTTCGCAGACCAACTGTCAGCCTGATAATTTCAGTGGTGCTATACGAAGCCTTTTTTTATTATGTCACCTATAATGTCTGTGTAATGGGCAATGAAATTTATAAATACCTCTAAAACTCAGCCCAAGAAGAAGGCGGCCTGGGGATAAAAAATAAATAAATAAATAAGGGRTGGAGCAGCCTTCTGGGAAGTTATTCTTGGATGTTTTCTGAAGAGAAACCCAGTAAGCTGAACAACACTAATGCCAAGTGTGTTTAGTTTCCTAGGTGTTGGTTACTGCGTGTGCAAAGTCCCCGCTCTCCCTTGGTTTCCCTGGGTATGGCAAATGTGTCAAAATTAATGCCTGTGCTTGTTACAAAGTCACGGGTTTCAAAATTGTTTTAGGTCAAAAAGCAGAAAAATTTGATTCAGAGACCAAAAGAGAGATTTGCTCCATTTTAGAAACACCATTAGAATAAAAACCAGAAATAATATGACAGTAGAAATAAATCAGTATTTAGCAAATGTTGTTGCCTCAGGTAGATAACAGTATTTAAAAGAGTTCACCTTGATTGCTGTCTTGTAGCTTACACCGAACAACCCAAAGAAGACAGAGTTGTATATTTATCCCAATAAACACATTAAGCTCTCATAAGTCCCTGGCTGCAATCATGAATGACAAGAGGGATGTTCTCACAAATCAAGATCTTTTCAAGGTGTTATACAGTAGAATGAAGTCCCCTAAACATAAAAAGGAAAACAATGGAGTGAGGAGAGTGCATGTAATAAACATCACTGATAATCCTTCCCTGAGATTTAATAGGAACTAACAAAAGCTGAAGAGATAAAGGGCAGATCTATAAAGAAATACAGAGAGGAGATCATCTCACATAAAAACACGGAGCCACTCTGGTGATTTAAAAGCAAAATAAAACTTCACRGAGTCACGATGTGTTGATTAAAGCACTAGAGGCCCCAGTGACTGAAGCCAGCGTCGGAGCCGTGAGGACGTGCACGTGTGTCACTGGTGACATCATGTCAAGGCAGAGTGGCTGGGGTTTGCCAGACTTTTTTCTGGCAAACATTCTGACAATATGCCATGAACTGTACATTGTTTGTACACTTTTTACCCAGTAATCCCCAACGAAAGACCCCAAAGAAAATAATTTGTCTAGAGATCTGAATTATTATCTCAAATACCACACATTAATTATTTCTGATATTCTGGCATTGTGTTAAGGGTTAAATTAGATCATACACAATACCTTGATGCATGAGGTACTCTACCATTATCCCCAGTTCATAATTGAAGAAACAAGAGATGTATGAGTGGAGAAGAAGAGACAGTRAGGTTAAGCAACCTGCCCAAGGTCACACAGCTAACAACAGGTAAACTGAGATTCAAGTCAGGTCTTTCTGACTCCAGGAGTCAAATGCTGACCTTTAGCCTATATTGTCCCCCCTCCCAATGCTAGTGATACAAAAGTAATAAAAATGAGGGGCTGAGAATGTAGCTCAGTGGTAGAGTGCTTGCCTACTGTGCATGAGGCCCTGAGTTTAATCCACATTCCACCAAAATAAGAAATATTTTTAAAGGGAGGGSCTATTTAGTGAGACTAGTAAAATAAACTAGCATATCGGCAAGATAATGCTATATTGTTCATTAAAATGCTGAGTTGAGTTCTGTAGATTGTGTGGATACACGAGACTAGAAGGAGCATTGGTACTGATTCATCTGACACTCTGCAGGACCATAGTGGCTGTCCTTGAGACTTTCAACTAAATCAGCCAGGGGGAATAATGCAGGACTGTCCTATTTGGAATTATGGTAGAAAAACAGAACATACAATCCTTTTTTTTCTTCTTTCTTTCTTTCTTTTTTTTTTTTAATTGAACCCAGGGGTGCTTTAACCACTGAGCCACATCCCCAGCCCTTTTTTTGTATTTTATTTAGAGACAGGGTCTCTCTGAGTTGCTAAGTTGCTGAGGCTGGCTTTGAACTCCCAATTCTCCTGCCTCAGCCTCCCCATTTGCCAGGATTACACTACAGGTGTGCACCACCTCGCCTGGCAGAACATACAATCTTTTACACCARTCAACTCTGACTGTGGAAAATGTAGGAACCTCTTGGGATAGCAACAGAGAATAAAGGATCAGTGAGAAGGCTCTGCAGCCAGCGACTAAGCTGCAGCTTCATTTGGGCAAAAGTTGCTTGAACTCTGTGTGATTGAGTTTCTTTCTCTGAAATAGGGCTAGTAATATGTGGGAGTAGTTGTGAGGATTGGATGTGCTGATACATTGAAAAGGTTTTAGAGTAGCACCTGTCTACCTGAACATCCGTGGCTATTCTTTTAACTAATTAACATGGTTTGGAAATAAAAAAAAAAAATTGAAGGGTAGAGATTATTTAGGATTGAGTGTGCATTGGCTTCTTTTCACCATGACATTACCAGGGATTGAACCCAGAGGTGCTTCACCACAGCTCTGCCCTTTTTTATATTTTATTTAGAGACAGGGTCTCATGGAGTTGCTTAGGGCCTCACTGAATTGCTGAGGCTGGGTTTGAACTCAGGATCCTCCTGCCTCAGCTTCCTGAGCTGCTGGGATTRCAGCCCTTAAGGATGTATTCTTGAGTTGTATGAGAATGAGTGAGTGTGTAAGAGAATGAATGAAAGGTGAGGGGTTGGGATGTGGAGCACTGAGGTAGGACAGTTGTTTGCAGGGACACCTTAGAGGGTTATTTAGAGCTATTGCCCCTGGAATCACACTCAGGACCCTGTAGAGCCCTGACTGCTGGCATTGCAGAGGTGGGAAAGAAGGCCTCAGGACTGCCCTGGAGCTTGCCTACTTGGCCTGTCCAGACTCCTTCTCTCTGCTTTTGAATAATTGCAGCTGTATCTTATACCGCTACTGTTCAGTTGAGGATTTCAAAGGTTACAAGGATTTCCTATAGTATAGCAACTGATCAGAAGGAGAATAAGTGTGCTGTGTGGGTCTTGCTCTTGAACTTTGTCCGCAGTGTGGTGGAGTGATGGCGTTAAACCTCTCTCTCTCCTGCCCCCTTCACACTGCAGCTGGTCCAAGTGCAGCAAGTGAGCTGAGTCTGACCTCACGGCTTAAGAAGCTTCAAGAGACCATTGAGCAGAGAACCAAGGTAGAACTTGGGGACATTATCCGAATCAGAGGCTACATCCGCACATACAGAGARGAGCGAGAAATTCGTGCCACTGCTTATTGTAAGCACAAGAAGTTTTTGTCAAATTGGTTGTTATTCTGGGAGTGAGTCCAGAAGACTCTTGTTTAGCTGAAAATCTAACTTTCAAAAAGTTCACAAGATTTCACTCTAATGTTATATTGTATAATATGCTTTTTTTTAGAAAAGCAGCACTTCACAATTTTATTTGGAAAAAAGTTAATAATAAATAAATTAAGAAAGAAAATAAATTATTGGCTATATATAGTTGGCAAGGTTATTTTAATAACATAGTCGTTTCCAAAGAACTTTGAAATTCAAGTGTCAATCCATTAGGGCAGAGTTCATATTCTTCAAAATGATGGAAATTTCCTGAACACCATTAAGTCCATTAACTTTTGTTTGTTTATTTGTTTATTTGGGAATTGAACACAGGAGTGAGCTACATCCTAGCCTTTTTTATTTTTTTATTTTGAGATGTTCTTACTAAGTTGCTAAGTTCCTTGGCTGAGTTGCTGAGGCTGGCTTCAAATTTGTGATCCTCCTGCTTCAACCTCCCAAGCTGCTGGGATTACATGCATGTGCCACTATGCCTGGCCAAGTCCATTGACTTTAAATGAAAACAGCTAATTAGAAATAGGACAGTCCTGCATTCTCTCCCCTGGCTGATTTTTAGCCCCTGTGGTCCTCCAGAGTGTCAGATGAATCTGTACCAATGTTCCTTGWAGTCTCCTTCTGCTCCCTGGCTGTCCCTATGATGGGACACTGCCTTCACCCTCACAGGAAGGCTGGGAGTGCATCTAGACTGCTGTCCTTGTAGTAGCGTGGACATGGGAAAGAACTGATCTCAGTGTAATTTCTGACATTTTTTTTCCTGGCCTTATTAGACAAAGTGGATGATCCAGTGTGGAAAATTCAAATTGCAAGAATGCTTGAGCTGCCCACTCTCTACAGGAGAGTTTATGACCAGCCCTTCCACAGTCCAGCTCTAGAGGAAGAAGCAGCAGGAGGGTAAGTTGGGTCTTACCACTGTCAGGGGTGAGTCAGCAGCAGTGCAACTGAGCAGTGGGAGCCAGAGGCTGGGGTGGGCCTGGGCCAGGCCTGAAGCTTCCACTTGAGCATTGTGGGGCTCTCACCTCCGTACACCTCCATTTCCTCATCTGCAGAGGGAAGTCAGGAAAATAGACGTATAATTGAAATCATTGAAGGAGTGGAGGGAAGAGCACAGAAAAAAAAAATTTGAAGAAATAATGGTTGAAATTTTCCAAGCTGTGAAAACCTATAAACTCACAGATCCAAGAAGCTCAACCAACCCCAGGGCAAGAAACATAAAGAAAACTGCTCTGAGGCAYATCACAAAGTATTGTACCATAGTACATCATAACCCAAATCCTGCAAAAAAACCTACGGCAGTTGTTTTCCACCAGGGATGATTTTATTCCTTTAGGTAGGCGACAAAGCCAACCCCAGGAGGAATGAGAATATATGGATATTTGCTAGTGTATGGGAAGAAATACAGAGAACCAGGAGAGGATGCAGGCTGGGGCGGGATGGGAGAAGAAGAGAAAGGCAGACTTTTTACTATGGCCCCTTTYTCTTTTCTTTTCTTGTGATACTGGGGATTTGAACCCACAGTCTCACACATGCTAGACAAGTACTCTTCTACCACTGTGCTACACTCAGCCCTCCTTTAATTTTTTTTTTTAACTTGTGAATTTCAGGAATTATGTTTTCTGAAACGTGCAAACTCTAGAATGTATAAAATAGAAATTGTCCCCTCAGTTCCSTTCCCCAGAGGTTGCCACTGATCCTGGCAGCTGTTTCCTCTTAGACTCTTTTCTTCTGTGCATGCATAAGCATAAATGCCACATATATGTTTTGTAGGTTGTCCTTTCCTTTTTTTTTTTTTTTACAAAAATAAAGCCATATAGGTTTCATTTCTTCTGAAGCTTGACATTTTTCTTAGTCTATCATGAATGTCTTTTTTAATTCTCATAATCTTTTTTTTTTTTTTTTTGTGGTACTGGGGTTTGAACTCAGGACCTTATATGTGCTAGGCAACTGCTCTACCACTGGGCCACWTGACCAACCCTGGTTCTCATAATTTTAAGCAACCACACAGTATTCACTGTATGTACCTCTATGTCAAAAACAAGTCTCAATATAATATTGCATGTTCTACCTAATTTTCTGCCTTGTGCACACCAAAAAGGAACAAAGGTGATGGTTTTCTTCAGGGATTTTTAAAAACTTTCCCCTGGCAGCAATCCAGAAGCCCAAGACCTTACCAGTCTCACGTGTTTGCTGAGTGAAAAAATCAAAGAGTTCCTCGTGGAGAAGAGAGTACAAACCTTTTACCAGCAGGAGCTGGAAATGGTGCCATCTTTGCTGACTCTTGCCAATCAGCCCGTGATTCACAGCACCTGCTCCAACCAAGTGAGTGCCACGTGCCCATGTGAGAATTCTGGGCCTCTGCCCCAAGTCTGCAGCTGAAGGGTGTGGGTGAACATGACTATGATGTTAAGAATCACAGGGTGGACCCAGGGGCAGAGGTCACCCTCCCAGCACATGCCGTTTCTATTCTGGAAAGGTCACTGACCACTAAGAATTTGAAATGAGGCTAGACCTGTCCTTTACTTAATCTCATTGCCCTTAATCTTTGAGTTGAAAAAGATAATAATAGGCTCAGGTCATAGCACCTAGTTGTTAGTACTCACTGAGATGGGTATTTCATCTTAGCAGAAGCCAAATGAGGGAGAAGGAGATGAGAGGGAGGTCATTATCTTGCATCCAGAATTACTTTTTTTTTTAATATTTATTTTTTAGTTGTAGTTGGACACAATACCTTTATTTTATTTATTTTTATGTGATGCTGAGGATCAAACTTAGGGCCTTGCACTTGCAAGGTGAGCGCTCTACCACTGAGCCACAACCCCAGCCCCAGAATTACTTATCGGTCAGCAAGATGATTCTTGAACTTGAACCCGGATTTTTTGGCATGTCAAAAATAAGGTTGATCTGACATGTTTTAGGAGTTTTAAATAAAGACAAAGTTGTATTCAGTTGGTTTATAAGTAAAAATTTCAGGGAATGTTAAAGTAATGCTCTTGGAGAGATCTGTTCCTGTTTTTTCACTTCTAGTATAACAGATGAACTTGTTTGGTGTGTGTTTGAATTATTGGAGACTTGTTTTAGGCTTTCCCTTTTATTACTATTCTTAGGTTTGTTWTCATTGTGACATGACTCATATTTATTTACTTTTAAATAAATGAATGATCTCAGTTTAAATATCACCTTGGTCCCCCAGCCATCTGCCCTGACCACCACTTGTCCCACCCTGTTACATTCAGATCTGTGACATTATGATGTGACTGCATTTGTTTGCCCTCCATGGAATGAAATACCTTTTCCCTCTTAAAATTTTTCATTTTGATTTTTATCCCTAGCATTGTGTGGGTGCCCTCTACCCAGGCCCTAGAACAGGGCCGGATGAAGCAGATTCTCAGTGATTATTTGTTGATACAAGGAATGAATGAATGGTTGTTAAAAAGTCAAGTGGTCTCAGAAGGTAGTAAAGTAAAAGTAGATTTCTTCCCATCCTCCCTCTCACCTTGTCCCTATCCCCAGAGACAAGCCCCAATGCCAGTCTCCTGCATGTCCTCCTAAATATAGTTGATGGATATATAAACTGTAGGTAATTGAGTCTCTCTCTCCTTTTTCCCTCATATGGCAGCATACAATTGACCTCTCTTTTCACTGAGCAGTTCTTGCAGGTCCTTTCCTAGTAGGACATCCTGATCTGCCCCTGTGTAATAATCTTGTTACCTCTCCTGGAAGATTGGTTTATGTATTTAACCAGTCTCCTCCCTTCTGGACTAACATGTTTTCCAATCCTCCCATTGCCAACAGGGCTGCTGAGAACACACTTTTGCTAAGTAACCAAAGCTTTTCTTCAGGATTCTGGTGGAATAGACACCAACCAGGTCACCATCCCGACCTCCTAGGCATGACCACTGCTTCTCGATTTTGTTCATGCACCTAATTACCTCCTCCTGCCAACATGCTTGTGTGCCCAGTGACCCAGGATTTCATGCAGAGAGATGAGGGATATCATTTCAGGAAGCACCCAGGTGGGGAGGGTCACAGCTGGGTGCTTTGTTCTTTGCCAAGGTCGMTTCTAAACAGTTGCAGCTTTCCAGCTGTCTCCTGACAGTGAGATTGACCTTCTTCCCATTTAATCATTCAGAGGAGGCTCAAAGCCAAATTAACCTCCTAGGACTTTTAATGACTATCAGCATATTTGCAAGGAAACTTAAAGGCTCAGCAAAGCCCACATTCTTCACTTGAAGCTGGCTCTTCTGTGGTAGTTGTAATTAAGTACAGAGACTTAAGCACTCTTTGAGGACTGAAGACTCCTCCATTCAAAATGATCTGTGGGGACATTTTCGTGTGCTATCGTTCTCAAAAAGCTTAGAGCAGAAAATCGTGCCTGCCCAACGCTGTATGTTTGAAATGGAATGGCAGTGGCATCATATTTATTTGTCTTTGGAAGCGATTTTTTCCCATTAATTATGAATTAGTCCATCACATTGCTCTGGTTGGGAAGGTCAGTGTCATTAAATTGAATTCCATTTAATAGATCCCCAGGAGACTAAAGATGCTTACAGTGATGGTGAAACCTGAGAGCTTTGGCACTTTCCCTCCTCATACAAACAAAAGCTTAACAAAAAGTYACTGTGACGGTGCCCTAGCTGAGAGGTGGGAGAGAGGTGAGAGCATTTTTCCCCTTTCTATTTTTTCCTTTGTGGCCCTTAGCAAATCCAGAAACATGACAGGCAGACCTTCCAAAACCATTTTTTACCCCGTGGCGCTGGGGATTGGGCCCAGGACCTCTGTGGACTAGGCAAGCGCTCTACCACTGAGCTACATCCTCACCTACCCCACTGTACCCCYCTTTTTTAAGCTGAGTTTCCCAGGCTGGCCTTGAACTTGGATTCCCCTGCCTCAGCCCCGAGTGGCTGGGATTACAGGTGTGCAGCACCATGTCTGGCAAAACCATTGTATCTTTGACAGCCAGATGAACACTGAGTTGGTTTGGGAGTGAAGAGAAGCTAGATTTCAGGGAGCCGCCCAGTTCCTGGCTGGAGCCTGAGGCTCAGCACATRCAGCCAGCCAACTTTTGAGTCTGGGAGCCATTTCCATTTCCTGAATCGGATGAGTCTGTCATTGCTTTTTCAAAAATGACAAGAAAGACACAGATTCCTGTCCAGAAGAACTGCTGGCTGGTAGAAGGGACGAGTAGAGAGGCCTTGCCCTTGAGACTGATGTCTTCAAACCAGGATGGAAAAAAATCCCCTGGGTCAGCTGAGGCAAAGTTTTTGGAAAGGAAGCATCACATATTGTTTATATTTACCGAGAGCCATTTCAGATGAGTCCTCCTGCTTCACAGCCGAAGCTGTGCTTTTACTCTCCCAGGCCTCCGATGCTCGATTTCTGCCAGTTGGTCTTGCGGAAGGAAAGAGGCAGTGTGTATACAAAAGACCAGCCAACAGCAAGAGTATCTTCCTGGTCTTCCACTCCATATCACCGAATTAAACAAATCACAGCTGAAATATACAGCAGTTATCAAGCGTGATCCTGCCAAAGCAAACTTCTAGCCCTCCTGCTGGGCTGGTACATGCCTTGATCTTGACTCAGCAGATTAAAAACCTGTTGGGCAAATTCACAAACCAGTTGGTCTGGGAAGTTGCTTTTAGGTGCCTGAAAGTGCCTTACTTCTTTTCTTCTTCTTTTTTTTTTTTTTCCCCTATTTATACAGGTGGAGTTTAAGAATGACACCCCTTCCAAGGCAATTCATAGTGTATTTAAGAATGCTATTCAGCTGCTACAGGAACAAGGACTCGTTTTCCAGAAAAGTGGTGATTTTAATAACCTGTACCATGTAAGAGACCCACAATTTTAATTTTTTCCTTCATAGTTTCAATTACTAATATATTTATTAATTATGAATACCTGCTTATTGTTTTTTTAAAAAATCATGAAAGAGGTATATTAWGTCAGGAGTAAATGTTGATCCTTACCTTTCCCTGAGCTACCTCTTCTGGAGGTTCACCTGTACATTTACAGATGCACTAATACACTCCTGTAGCTCTTCCACTTTACCAAGAAAACAAAAAAATAGTAATCATCTTCTAAATCAGGAATTCTCACCCTCAACACCAAGTGGGTCCMGTGATTGCCATGGGGACTAGCCTGTGCATGATGGGATGGTTAGCTGCATCCCTGACCTTCCCTCACTCATTGCCAATGACACCTCCCCCATTATGACAACCAAAAATGCCTCCAGTCATTGCCAAATGTCCTCTGGGACAGTTGAGAACTACTGCTCTAATAATGCTCAGCAACTTTTTTGGTACCAAAATAGCATCTCGCAGACACCTTTCCACATTATTGGGAATCTACGTCATTCTTTCTGACACCCTGATGATATTCCATGCTTGGGTACCTGATATAAATTTTTTTGACCATACCTTTGTGAGGGAACATTTATCGTGTTTCCAACTTTTGCTGTCACAGAGAGTGCTGCTGTGGCCCTTTCTGCACAGCTGTCCCTGTCATCTCATGTCTGTATTTCTGTACAATTAACTCCTGAAGGAAGAGTTCCAGGAGCAAAGGAAGTGAGCATTTAAGCTTCTGGGTGACACAATCCCATTGGCCTCCCTAAAGGCTGTGCCAGTTGACCTCCGAGGAATATACAAATGGCTGCTTCCTGGTTTCCCTCCCTGATATAAAAGGCCTCCTCTTGCTGTATCCCCTTAGTGTTGGAGGAGCCCAGCTGAAAATGGGCCTTCTGAGGGCCACTGATGTCGTCAGCATAGATGTGGCTTCCAGAAAGTGTGAGTCTCCTAGAGATAGATCAGTGTCATTACTTACGAGTGAAATTCCGGAGGGGAAGGTTTCCTCAGTAGCACGTTTCCTGATGTTGATTTATTCTACCGATTCCCCATTTCAGAGGGTTTTAAAAATCAAGACTGGTTTTCAGTGCTGCTTCTGGTAGAGTTGATCCACCTGTGGGAGAGGGTGGGCTGGGATGGGTAGGCACCGGGGAGTTGGCTGGAGGTTGTCCCACCAGGCCGGCAGCTCAGGTCAAGCCCCCTCTGAGCCACATGTTCCTGGGGCTCTGGGGCTCTGGGGCTCTGTCAGGATCTGTAGTGAGCAGCCAKTCCTGGGGAACAGCAGAGCCATAGGCCACCGCCCAGGCTGAGGTGTTGCCTGGCTGGGGCACTTCCTCTTATGAATCACTGTGAGTTAGAATGGGGCATGGAGCAAGAGCAGGTCCCTTGTCCCCTTCTCTGATACCGCCCCTCCTCTTCCACTCATTGTGTGTGGGAAGGTTTCCTTTCTCCCAGGGCCCAGCCTGAGGGAAATGGTTATCATTGTCATGTCAGTACTTCTTGTCCAGCCCAGCCCATGGGCTTACATGACCTTATTTAGCCATCACAATCACCTTGGGAACTGAGGGTCGCTAAGTCAGGCCACAGGTGCAGGGGGCTTTCTGCAGTGGAAACTTACCTCTCTGCACACTTTCTTTCTTTTTTCTCCGTCTGTGTTTTTTTCTCCCCTCTCCCCTCTCTCCCTCTTTCCCCATCATTTCTTCCTCTTCTGTCGTCCTTTTCTTCACCTTTTGTTGTTGTTGTTATTAGGTTTGCTGTTGAACATGAAAGTGAAGCCCTGTTTAGTTGCAGCTTCCCCCTTTCCCTGGACTGGTTGAAAAGAAGCCTGGAGATGTCTGCCTTTGAGCGCAGACAGTGTGTCAGTGGTAGGCTAGGTTCGCTCTGTTCCTGGCAGTTGTTTTCTTCTTCTGTTTTCCCCTTTGGTTAGGAGTCCGGGCCCAGAGCAGGGAGTCCTGGGTGGAGATCAGAGACTCTGATGATGGTGCCCCCGTCAAAAATATAACAAATAAGAGAGGTGCTATGAATATAAGTGTTCACTTAGTAAGTAGCCCCTTTAAAAACACAGAATTCCAGTTTTCCTTTCGGTCGTGACCCCAGTGAACCCACTCTAAGGGCATGTTCTCTGGGCCACCTCCTGAGCAGTGAGCTGCTGAGGAACAAAACTGGTTTGACACTAGGCCAGGTACCAAAAGTCACATCATTAGTGTAGGGAAGCTGATGGGGGTGGARTCTTTAGAAACTATCTTGCATACTTATTGGGGAGTCTGGATGTCACAACTGCYGTGCTATGTAAGAACATTTTTTGTCCTGAACTATCTTTCCTATATAGGTAACTAGAGAAGACAAAGACCTGCACAAAAAAATCCACCGGATCATTCAGGAAGACTGCCAGAAACCCAGTCGTAAGTGGCATAGTGTGCAGGTGACACGCGGGTGCCCTGGAAGGGGCTGCTCCCTCCCAGAGGGCATTGGACAGAGAGTCAGAAGACTGGGATTGTTCCTAGCAGTGACTTTGAAAGGTGACAGTCAAGGCACCCACTCTCTCTGAGCCTTAGTTTCGTCCCCTCTAACGTGAGTACTGGGCTAGCACAGTTGTTCAGACCTTGGCTCCATGTAAAAAGTTTCAACCTTGGGGCTCTTTTAAAGGTGCAGTGACCAGGTCCCACCCCTGGGGATTCTCATTCTGTAGGGGAAGGGTTGAGGCTCAATAGGAGAGCGGCTCAGATGGTTTTGCGAGGTAAGCCAGGTCGACAGGACGCCAGGATTTTGTGATGTCGCGCAGGTTCTCATATTCTTTCTGAGTTGCATTTCTTGTTCCATTCATCCTCCTTGTCTTTGAATATAAACTTGACATTTTACTTACTCCTAACATCAAGCTTTTCAGTGTCGGGAGGAATGGTTCTAGACACTACAGTTTTTGTTTTTTAATTTTTTTTTAGTTTAGAATGATGTGATTCTGTCATTCTGGAAACCAAAAGTTTGCAAAAGAAATGGTTTAGAAAATAGTTTCAGTGGAGTTAGGTCATCCCCTAGTGGTTAGACTTTCAAACTGTAACTAGTCTGACGACAAACATGATCTTTTCCTGGTTAGAGAAGGCAGCATTAGTCCTATCTTTAAATCCTGTACAAAATGGTCAGTCTTCAAGGTGACTTTTCAAAGTTCACTTGTGCAAACATATGCTAATAATGAATGTTGACCTAGTTCAACACGTGATGCTAGGAGGGAAGTGGAAAGATTTACAAGTGACCTGAGGTCCCCAGTCCTGCCTCCTTGCTTGCCATAGAAGTCCACTTCCAGGCCTTTCGTCCCAGGCATCCCTGGGCCTGGACCCGGTCCAGGCTGACTCAGCGGGTGGAGTAGGGCCAGGTCTTCCGCCCTGGTATTTAGGACCTGATGAGGTCAGACCCCAGAGTGGTATGACAACAGGTCTTAAAATAAACTGAAAGCAATCTGTGATTTTAATGCAGTCTGTGAGTTCACTTCTTTTGGAACAATAAGAACAGGTATCCTTTTGTTGAAGAGAAGCCTGTTTCTCACACCTAGGGACCATTTGAGAGCAGTGTTCTTGGGATTCCTCAACTAGGAGGAGAGGGAGGTGCCCCCAAGATTCCTTTCTTACATTAGGAACAGAATGGGTTAAAACCTGCAGCCTGGTGAAGCAAAGGAAAGAAATCCACTCTTCATCCCTTAAAAGGACCTAATGTCCTAGGTGGCCCTGAGGGACCAGCTCCCACCTCTGAACATGGCATCAAGATGGACAGGCTCTGCTACCCAGTCTGTACCTGGGAGCCTCTAAAAGCCACAGGCCAGTCACCTGGCACTAATAAACTCTCAGAAGCTRAATTCCAGACCCTAGGTAGCAAAGCCAGTGAGAGGCCTCTWAGGACTATCTTGTATCTGCTGCAGTCACTCTTCTTCATAATATTATCACCTATGGCAGAAGAAATTATTCTGAATAATAGGGTATGTGCAACATTAAAAAATCAAGCAGTGCAAAAAATACACTCAKAAATCAGAGATCCCTCCAGCAGGGAGCCTAGGTTTTGCTTTTCCCTCCGCAAAGGCATGGTTGTTACTAATTTTTATGTATCCTAGAGATATTAGGTGCACCTACAAACATACTTGTATAGTTGATCCTCTTTTAAAAACACAAGTAAAGCTTAGCCTACAAAATACCTTGCCCCGCACCTTGTATTTTACTTCTGACATTGGCTTCTAGAGGTCCTTTGTCATCAGCAGGGCACATGTGAAAGTGCCACAGTCTTAACTGCAGTATTCCATCGTATATCTAGAGAGAGTCGGCCATTTATTTCACCATTCCTCCTGGGCCTTCATTTCACTTCTGGCCTTTCATATAAAATAAGAGCTTAGGGTTTTCCTTATCAGGGTGACTGGTAGACAGACTTGAACTCTTCAGTCACTGATGTGTTTCTCATCAAAGGATTGATGAGGTTTTTCTAAAGATGAGCAATGTTTCCCAGCAGCTTGGGAGGCTGAGGCAGGAGGATCTTGAGTTTGAGGCTGGCCTGGACAACTTAGCCAGACCCTCAGCAACTAAGCAAGACCCTTCTCAAAATAATAAGGGCCAGGGATGTAGTTCAGTGGTATAGCACTTGCCTAGCACACATGAGATCCTGGGGTTGATCATTAACCTTGCAAAAATAAATCAATAAATAAAATCAGTTCAATGCCCCCAAGACAACCATGGCCCCCAAGCAAGCACCTTGCAGAAAAGCCTGCTGTGGCTGAGGGTTGTCCCATACAGGGCTGCCTGCTGTTGTCCTAATCCCTGGGGAACTGCTTTCGGGCTTTTACTACTCATCTGTCTTCTAGTAATATCTCATATAAAGAAGAGTCTAAGCTGGGCGTAGTGGCTGTGATCCCAGTGGCTGGGGAGGCTGAGGCAGGAGGACTATGAGTTCAAAGCCAGCCTCAGCAAACTTGAGGCACTAAGCAACTCAGTGAGACCATGTCTCTAAATAAAAATACAAAATTGGGCTGGGGATATGACTCAGTGGGCAAGTGCCCCTGAGTTCAATCTCCAGTACCGAAAAAAAAAAAAAAAAAAAGAAGAGCATAAGGCATGATCCCCATGTTACTGGAAGGTGACTTTGCAAATAGCTTACCAGACCACCCTTCCAACAGAACCACCTACTGGAGAAATGGCTTAAGGCCTACAGCTGTCAGAAGCACTGCCCAGAGCCCCRTGTATGCCTGGGAATCAACTCAGCCCTGAGCCAAAGCACCTGGGCCTCAAAGTTAAGGTGAAAAGCTAAGTGCTGGTGAAATTCCTGGGTTGGGCTCTCTGCTCTGCAGCTGGTGTGCTGAGTCCCTCCACCTCCATCAGCAGCGCATCCCACCATCTTCAGTTAGCTCCATGGGAAAGGGCTGAAGCTTCTTTAGTCGGGGGCGGGCTGTGATCTCATGTTATGAAAGTGATGAAGAATCATGGTTGTTCCCTAGCTAAGAAGCACGTGGATCTCATTTTACCCCCACACCACCCTGTAAAGTAGGTGGTTTTATTCTTATGAGCCACTTTGCCCCAGTTGACATGCAGGATTTGCATTCAGGTCTGCTGGGCTCCAGGGTCAGCTCTCCATCAGCCACACTGTACTTGCTCCTCCCTGCTCAGTGCTACACACACAGTAGGTGTTCAGTTCTGTGCATGCCTGAAACTGGAGAACATTAAACCAGTTGGGAGGATTAAGGAGTAGATGCAACCACTAGAGGTCGCAATTTAGTACATCTTTGTTAGCCCAGGACCAGCCTCTGAACCTTGGGACTGGTAAGAACTTCAGAGGTGATCAGTCCCTTGTCCCCCAGCCCTAGGTGAGAAAACTGAAGCTTGGGGTGCTATGGCTTGCCTCAGGGTGCAAGGGTGCACCAAATGTCAAGCCATACTTTCCCAATACTATAATACCTTTGAGCACCTTCCAGCCTAAAGCATTTTGTCATGAAAACCACATAGAGTGGTAGAGCACTGGAGTATGCCTGGTCCTGGGTGTGTGTGGCCCTGCTGGGRTCTTCAAAGTATGAAAACTGGGGTGAGTTTACTTTTAGTGATGAAGTTTGACTTTGTCTCAGAAATACATTTTATGTCACGATCCAATATTTATATGATTCTAATGCATAAGATTTTACAGATAGGACAGAGGAGGGCCTGACGGTCATAGTGAAGCTTAGCCACCTGCCTTTTGCCTGCAGACATGGAGAAGGGCTGCCACTTCCAGCATATCTTGGCCTGTGTGCACCTGAGCCTCCACCCGGGCCTGAGTGAKGCCGTGCTGCGGCAAGTGCTRGAGCTGCTGGAGGACCAGAGTGACATCATCAGCACAATGGACCGCTACTACAAGGCGTTCTGAGCAGAGGCCCTTGGAGTGACTGAGGAGCAGAAGGACAAGGTGGCATTCGCCCCAGGTTCTAATTGTAAACATCTTGCAGGGCTTATGTCTGGAAGAAGTTACCTCATAATAAACCTAACCCTACTTTAGTATGGTCACTTGGGAAATGAGATGTAGCTGCCTCCTATGTGCTGTGACTTTGGGGTACAGTGACTGATCTCAGCCCCTCACACAAGAAATTCCTCCCTGTTGACTTCCTGTCTGGATGGGGCATGGCTCAAGGAGCAGAATGGGGAGGAAACAGTATTGTCACCTTAATTGGTGTGTTTGTGGCTTGAGGCCCTGTCCTGGTGAAGGGACATCACAGGGTCAAAGGCACTGCACTGCACTGTAGGAACTCGGGAACCTATGGCCAGATCACCAGTTCTAAGCTTGGCAAGCCTTCAGGCTGTCACCTATGTCCCTGTGGCCACTCCCAGTGGGTAGGATCAGGCRAGGGAGGGGTTCTTCCTGGATGACAGCCCCTCACCTCTGCTTTCTGAGGCTCCAGCACCAGTGGCGGGGCCTGAGGTTTGCTGCTGTTTACCGACTCCCCCAGAGATGGAAGTAGGCAGGGGTTCRAGGTGTGGCTCTGTATTCAGCACTTATTTCCCTTCCAAATTAAAAGGTGTCACAGAACAATTCCCTGCACTCCCAGTGTTGCAGAACTAAACACATGGTCCCTCGGTGCCTCTGCAAGGGAYAGAGGTGTCAGTAGCCTGGCAGGGGTAGATGTGATCTTCAAGGTTGCTGTTGAGTGTGCCAGAGGTGCTGACGCCGTCAAGATAGAGACTCCTGGTGTGTGCCCAGACAGGTGATGGAGTCATGCTTTTGCTCAGAATGACAAGGTAAAGAAAAACCATCTGAGGCATGTAGTAAGCTTGTTCTAACAGAAAACAACAAATCCAGCCAGCAAAAATAAAGCATGGAGAAACAGATTTGGAGTTAATTACAGTCATTTTGCAGAAGGCACATCTGCCTTCATCTGCTGTGTTGGCTCTTGACGTAATAGAGTCTCAGTGGCTTAGCTGGAGATACTGCAGGCCTGGAGAGCTGTTCTGCCCTCTGTGGACACGGAGTGGTTTCTACCCTCACAAGTCCGCCTCAGCTGCATTTGTCAGGCAGAGAGCTAGTACCTGCAGCTTGACCCACACTTCTGCCGACTTCTAACATTGTTGTACAGACAACTGTCCTGTTTCAACTATGCTCAGAAAGGTCTCTGAATAGGCCCTTCCTAGAATGAACTCCCAGTAGTTCTTCAATCCGTGGTATTTCCATATTGAATATATCTTCGATTAGTGGAGCCTCCCAGGAGAGTCTGGAATCAGAACAGAAAAAGGGCATATCCTGGCACAGAGCAGCCGAGGGGTTCATCTCCAGGAGATAACTACACAGTGTGAGAGGATGAATCCACAGGCGYATGTCACAGGGTAATCTAGAGTTCTATGATTAGGGGAAAGCTTTATAGAATAAAAGTTAATTACAATCCATATATACAATGAAATACTATGCAGCTGCTAAAATGTTGGAACAGATGGATACAATTGCTACAGGGTACTACTGACAGATTAGTGAGGAGGAAATCSAGTTAAAGATGTGTTTGTATAGTATAGTACCCTGGATCTAAAGCTCCCTGTGTGCGTGTCCTACATCAATGGTGTGTTTCTGCATATGTGTCATTTGTACCTATAGCACATGTACACAAAGACGTAGAGTTGATCACTCCCTCCTCCTAGAAGTACCTGCTGCACTTGGCTTTCAGGACACCACACTCCCTGGCTGCACCTTCTCAGTGGTCAGCCTCTATCTCCCTGAAGACTCAGGGCCAGTCCCAGACCTCATCTCARTTTGGCTTATAGCACTGGGGCTCTCAGCCAGCTTCATGGGTCACACTGTCTCAGTGCTATGCATCTCCTCATGCTCAGACCTCTGTATCCAGCCTCCTGCTGACAGAGTGGAGATGACACCACAAGCTTAATCCGCACACATCCAGGCTCCCAGCTGCCCTGACTTCCCCTCTGACCCTGGTGCAGTTTTCCTGGTTTCTCAGGCTGTCTGTTGGCTTCTTTCTTTCTTACACCCCATATTCAATCTGCTGCAGATCATCTTAGCTCCACCTTCAAAATGTTTCTGGACTCTAACGGCTTCTCTTCCACCTCTGCCTCCTGGGAGTGTTGCAGTTGCCCCTCACTGTCCTCCCTGCTTCTGCCCTTGTCCCTTTTTATGGCATCCTCAGTGTAGCATCCTTGGTCCTGGGACACTCCCACTCCCATGACTTTTGGTCTCCCTCCAGGTAGGAGCCTGAGGCGTGCCAGTGACGGAAGCCTCTTTCCCCTGGCCTCTCCTGCTGAGCCCCTGCCACTCTGCTCAGCTGTTAGGCGTGGCTGCTTTCACACCCCAGGTGCGCTCTTGCCTTAGGGCCTTGGCATTTGACATTCTGTCTGCCTAGAATGTTCTTTGCCCAGATAATCTCCCCTCTTTCAGGTCTTTGCTGGAGTGTCACCTTCACAGTGGGGCCTGCCCGCAGCTTTCTTTGCTGATTGTAGCCAACTTGTTCTCCCTCCTCCTCAGCTTGTGGATGCCTCACACACTCCAGATGTTTCTTACCTGCCCAGTTTATGGTCTGCCCCTCTGGTAGAAGGAATGTTGCATGAGGGCAAGGTTCCCTTTTCGTTTCCGTCTGTCCCTAGCACTGAAAGCAGTGCCYGGCACATCTTTGAGAACTTCCAGCTGCCAGGGTCTGCCTTCCTAGTAGCTTTCTCCAGAGCTTAGAAGGCTGTTTCKACTGAAGAGTGCAGAACCAACATCCCCTGGGAGCAGCCTCCTGTGTAGATGTCCCAGCTCCCTTGCCTTCAGGTGAGAGGTTGTCACARCACATGTTCTACACTATCTTCCAGAGCTCTGCAGGATGAAGCAACATGCACCCACAGTAGCTGCCAATTTGATACCCACTAGTCTGATCCTGCCTGTCTCTCTTCCTTCTCCCAATTCCTGTTCAGTAGACCTCTCAGATGAATTTCTTGCTCTATAGAAACCTTTGCCTCAGGATCAGCTTTTGTATGAGCACACCATGCTCACTGATACATTTGGGAAATGCATGAATAATTATATACACCCAAAGAAAGATTACTAGAAATGTTTATTGAAGTATTACACCTATGACTTTTGAAAAGTAAGATGTCAGGTCTATAGCCAGGTGTAGTGGCTCATGGAAGACCCCATCTCAAACAATAGTAAAAGTAAAATAGTATTGACCAAATTATATTGTTATATCATGTACCTATATGAACATGTAACAAGAAATCACATTAATGTGTATAATTATAATGCACCAATAAAAAATATGGAAAAAATAATAATCAACTACTAGCCTATACTTGGTATTATTACAATTAGCAAACATCGTCTGTACAAAAGTGATACAGCTATTTCCACTCCCCAACCCACTCATATAACCTGAATTATGAGTAAGCCAAGAATGAGGTGGGCCTCTCCCACAGCAATGGAAAAGCTGAGAAGATGCGGGAAGATGGGGCCAACTATGGGGGCCACTGCCTRTGTGGTGAGGCCAGCAGAGGGTCCCCCTGAAAAGGAGAGATACTGAGTGAACCTCTAGATCTTTATGTTCACGGGTTTCGGGAGGCGTGGACTCACATATAATTGATGTAGACAAGAAGACAAATAATACTACTGTCTGGTCAAGGATTTGTTTGAAGATCCATGATTATCCCCATCTGGTAAGCCACCAGGACTCCTCATCCCTATAAGACACTTCTTTGTAATTATTTCCCTCTCTGATGGTGTGCCAGGACACTGGCCCAGAGAAAGCCAAGTGGAAAGAGGTCCATTCAGTGATGAGGAACCTAAGACTCGGGGCCAAGGATTGAAACCAAGCAAACTGGTCATTTTTTTTGTTGGCGAAAACATCTACACTTTCTTACTAATGTGGTTTCTTTTCCGCAAGTGGCTTCTACAGAAGCTCTCCCAAAGAAAAGTCTCATTGTTTCTATACTAAATTTACGTGACGCCTATAGCAAACTCAAGATTGAAGCAGCTCACTGGTAGGCACTGGGGGGAGAACGGGGCCATCCTGAGGCGAGAGGGTGTCTTTGAACAAAGCTTTGTGGCTGAGCTCTGGTTTGCATGGTGTTCCACGGGTAGAGGGGCTCAGTGTGAGCCCCTACTCYTACGCCAGTGGGCTTCCGTATAATCCAGAATTGTTTTTTATATTCAGCCCATTTTTATTGAATTTGAGCAATGCATTACCAGTTAACCTCTGCTGTATTTATTAGGAAACACAACAGTGAGACAGCACAGCACAAGATTCCGTTTCACAGGAAGTGAAAATCAAACCCCAAATTCCTGAAGAGGCTCAGGGCCCTCCCTGTATTTCAAAGTAAAATGATAGGTTTTCATTTTGGAATATAAAGAGAGACATTTTGAAGACCACATGATAGCTTTAGGGTTTTTTTTATTTTTGTTTTTGGTTTGGGGTGTTTTTTATTTTGTTTTAGATAGAGACAGTAAAATGATGTCTCATTMATTCAGACTGATTTGGTAAGAAGTCTGAACTGGAAAGTCTGGGTTGGAAGTAGTGCTATTTTATTACTGTAGGTCTCCCCAATGGTCCTTATTAAATTTGAATTGTAAAGGAGGACTGCTCTTAGGGAACCTGTTTTAATGAAAGAATTATTTTAAGTATGTATCATTTGAGAATACATTATTATCTGATACTTAAGTGATTTAAAAGTACTTAAAAGGGGCTGGGGTTGTAGCTCAGTGGTAGATCGATTGTCTTGCATGTATGAGGCCCTGGGTTTGATCCTCAGCACCACATAAAAATAAATAAAAAGATATTATGTCCATCTACAACTAAAAAATAAATCACAGTACTTAAAAGAGACTGGGTGTGGTGACACATGCCTGTAATCCCAGCAGTTCAGGAGGCTGAGGCAGGAGGATCACACRTTCAAAGCCAGCCTCAGTGACTTAGGCCCTAYGCAACTCAATGAGAYGCTGTCTCAAAATAAAAAGGGCTGGGGATGTGGCTCAGTGGCTATGCACCCCTGGGTTCAATCCCCACTGCCAAAAACAAAAGAAGAGGTAGGATATCCACACTGTGGTGTATTATTCAACCATGGAAAGGAACGAAATTGTGATACAGACAGCACGAGCAGATGGACACTGTGTGGTCATTTTGTGCATGAAGAACCTTGAAGGCATGTTAATTACAAAAAGCCAGACACAAAAGGCCATATATTCAGTGATCCCATTTATATGATAAGTCCAGGAAATGGGAAAATCCTTAAGATAAAAAATAGATTGAGTGGTTTCCAGGCATAGGGCAGAAGGGGATTCAGTGGTGGAGTTGCTTTTCGGTTAATGGAAATGTCCTGAAATCAGCGGTAATGTTTGCACCAACTAAATATACTCAAATTACTGAACCATGGGCTAGCTTGGGATTCCTCACATCATCGTGGCTGGGTTTCCAGGGCAGGCATCCCAAGAGAGCATGAGGGTGGAGACTTGCCCAGCATGTGCTAGGCCCTGGGTTCAATCCCCAGCACCACAAAAAGAAAAAGACAAGGGCTGCCTATGTGAAATAATCACCCAGCATTCACTGGCACCTAACACTATGCCAGGTGCTATTCTAAGTGTCATATGTACATTACTCACTTGAGTGTCACTCAATGCATGAGAAAGCATGAGCCAGATGGAAGGTGCATGGCCATTCTGTGMATAGCCCAAAGCCATGCAGTGTCACTTCACAGCATTCAAATTGTCAAGGCTGTCACAAAGTCCCAACCAGGTCAAGAAGATGGGAGTAAATTCTACCTTCTGATGCAAAGTAACAAGGTTCTTGAAGGACATGCAGGATAGGGAATATTGCTCTGGCTATTTTTGGAAAATAGTGTCATTCAACTTTTATGCATAGACAGCTTAATTCTTTAAAGAAATAACACATTTTTTAATACTGAAAAGTTCCAAGAAAGGGAGAAATGATCAACTACTTCCCAGGTACTAGATATTTTTCAAAGATTGTGAGTGTGTTTGTATATGCATATATATGTATATATAATTAGAAAAATAAACCATATTATTTTTCATATCCTAGGGGAAAAAGTGTCACATTTTACATGCACCTTGCTTTTTAAATACTACATCTTGGAAGTTTTCCCCATTTTATGTGCAAGAATAACCACATTCTTTTRAATGGTGACATAATTCAAATGTATGGCTGTCCCAAAGTATATTTAACTAGGCTCCTRTTGAGAAACAWTAATTGTTTCTGGTTTATTGCTATTGCAACCTGTTCAGCAGGAAACATCCTTGTATATTTTTCTTTTCTTGGCATACATTTGTGAGTATATTTTGCTATTTTTGTGGGGGGTACTGAGGATTGAACTCAGGGSCACTTGACCACTGAGCCACATCCCCAGCCTTATTTTGTATTTTATTTAGTCTGAGTTGCTTAGTGCCTCACTAAGTTGCTGAGACTGGCTTTGAACTCTCTATCCTCCTGCCTCAGCCTCCTGAGCTGCTGGGATTACAGGCCTGTACCACCACTACCTGGGAGTGAGTATATTTTCTATGGTAAATTTCTAGCAATGGAACTGAAGGGAAAGAACGGAGATAGGTACAAGAGATAGGTAAGTGAAAAAATGAAAGAGGGAGACCAGGCAGAGATACACATGAGAGTTTATTTGTCAGAGCTGACAAATAAAGGCTATTTCTCTATAGGAGAGAGAGGCAACACAGGCTTGGGTTCTGGGACTTTTATAGGGAAGGCTCAGGAATCAGAGCTGGGCAGGTCCGAATGTGGGTGGTTAAGGATTGAGTTGGTATGAGGGAGTGGAGCCTTTCTCAGAAATGCCATCCAGATGCTAAGCAAGGACTTTATAGGAACTGCCTGAGGAAAGGATATGAATTTTAAAATTTTGAATAGCTGGACACAGTGGTGCACACCTGTAATCCCAGCTGCTTGGGAGGTGGAAGCAGAGGATCACAAGCTCTAGACCATCTTAGGCAACATAACAAGACCATATCTCAAAAATTAAAAGGGCTGGGGATGTGACTCAGGGATAGAGCTCAATCTCCAGTACTAAAATAATAATAATATAAAACTTTGAATAGATGTTGAAAATTACCTATTGAAAAGACAGATCCAATGACCATTCGTGTCAATGACTGATGAGTTTACTGTTTGCCCACAAGCTCACCCACACTGTATTATCAATATGTTTCATCACTTTCCAACCAGGTAAAGAACAACTTCTGGTTTTGCTTGCCCCCCTCCCCCGTGTTTCTTTAGTGTGAGTGCTATGAGCCTGCATTCATCTTGAGAACCTTTACATTGAAAAGGTTCTACCCTGGAGAGTAGCCCCTGCTTCTAAGAGGGACAGAAGATGGCCAGTCATGTCCTGGTAGTGGCATCAGCCCTAGAACCAACCTGCCTGGCTGCTATGAGTTAACGAACAGCCAGAATAAACATCCCAAAGAGCTCAACCCTCAGAGTTCCCTACTTGCTACGACAAGCGCCTGATCATAGACCCCTGGAATATTAATATTAATATAAGGTCCTTGCTTAGCATCTGGATGGCCATCTTAAGTGACAGCCACCATTTTAAGGAAACAGTTTTGCTTTCCCACCCAAGGGCCTTCTGGAAAAGGCCCACCTCTCCCTCATACCAACCCAACCCTTAACTGTTCATATGAGGACCTCCTCCACTCTGATTCCTGAGCCTGCCCTATAAAAATCCCAGMCCCCAAGCCTGTGTTGCCTCTCTCTCCTACAGAGAGATGGCCTTTATTTGTCAGCTCTGACAAATAAACTCTCGTGTGTACCTTTACCTGGTCTCTGCCTCTCACTTCTCGCTTACCCGTCTCTGGTTCCTCAGTTTCCCTCCATTGACCGTGATCTGTTTAGAAACAATCACCATATTATCCACTCAGACTTATCAGACCAGACACTATTCAGTGCTGGTTCAGTGATACTGTCCCCTGTCAGTTAACTGTGAAAACCCAAGAATGTTTTTTAAGAGAGTGCTAATTAAGACGAGGAGAGAGCTTTCCTTATAGAAATGGTTTTGCTACCTCCTCCATATGAATCAGGATAGCCTAATTATCCCAGCAGGCCCTTGCTTTCATTTCCATTTATGACAGGGTTTGGTGCAGTTAATTGGACCATTGGGCAGCACCCATTTTGATAATCTTGGCTAGAAATTGCTCCCTTGGGTTGGAGGGTCTTCATTTTTTATTCTGAG